AGGCCCCCTTGTCTCCGCCCTCCCTTTCACCACTACACATCCACGCTGCGCCCCGAGCTCTGCGCCGCCTGTTCGCGCCTTAAGCGGCTCTTCTGCGGCGGTGCGATCCCCGATGCCACGCGGATTCCCCTCTTCACCCACCAGGCCTCAGACCAGCACGCAGAGCACAGCCCCACACACAACTGCCTACAGCCCCACAGCCTGTACAGGCGCACTGCCCCTCCCCACCCAGCACGCAGGCCCACACAACCGCAATCCCACTCATCAGCAAGCCCACACAGACACACGACGCCCCTCGGACACTCACAGCCTCACACAGACACAATCCATACACACACAACCCCGCACAGACACGCAAACCCTGGGACACACACAGGCACAATCCCAGCCACGAAGAAGCCCTCTGTAAACGATCGCCCACAAACACACACAACCCTACGCAGGCGCCGCATCTCTCAGCCCCACGAAGACCCAGAAACATGTTCGTCAGGTCGCACCCAGACCCCCAAGCGTCGTGACATTCACACATAAGCACAGACCAGAAATCTACAATCCACACTGATACACACACTGACCCAAACGGACGGCCAGGAGCTTCCCTGCGGGTGCATAAGTCCCTGGGAAAATGTTAAAGCGGTCCTCTCTCCCACTCTATCCCTGACGCACGCGCGTGCATGCGCGCGCACACACACATTCACACACACACAAACACACCCGGTTCCTCAGCGCTCGGAGCCTCCCAGCCGGTGACCTCGGGCCCCCGCGGGGAGAGCAGCAGGAGCGTCTCCCCGCGCCCCCTCCTCTTCCCTGTCTCCCGAACTCCGCCACTCCTCCTCGCTGCAGCCCCTCCCTCCTCTCCTCCCCTCTTTTCCCTCCCCTCCCCCGCGTCTGGGGCTCGGGCTAAGCAGAGCCAAGCCCCCTCGCCGCGCGCCCCTTCTCGCGCGCGCCCCGCGCCCTCATCGCGCTGGCGGAGTGGCTGAGGCCACCGGCCGTCTCTGATTTGTCCCCCTGCGGCCCGCGCATAATGGCTACTGAGGGCGCTTGCAGGGGCGGCTGAGGAGGAAACGCGGGGTGCGAGACGCGGCGTGCGCGGGAGCGCGAGGGAGAAAGGAGCGAGCCCGGGTCGCCTTGAGCCGCGGGCGGCAGAGAAAGGAAGCGCGCGAGCGCTCACCTTTTTTTCTCCCAAGGACCTCATCTGGTCGCCCCGTTCTGGAAGAAGCGAGGGGGAGAGCGCGCCTGCGGACCGGAGAGACGGCGGGGAAACGGGAGACGGCGAGCCGCGCAGCCTCGGCACCCGCGAGACCCAGAGGAGCCCGCAGGTATTGTTGGCGGCCGGAGCTTTGTGTCTTCGGGGACCGTTCCAGGGCGAGAATGTTTCTGGCCCCCTGCCGGGTTGAGACCTGCACCCACCCGGGCCGCCGGCGGGGTCCGGCACCCGCCCGCCGCCCCGAGATCTGGGCTGGAGTTGCAGATTTGCCTGTTTTGGGGTTTTCCAGACCGGTTGAGGGGATGGATCTCAGGAGACGGAATTTCTTTTGGGGTTTTTTTGGCTGTTGTTTGGTTGTGCTGGTGATCCCACTCCCCTTTCTCCACAATGCCTTGGTGAGAGGTCTTGGAGACAGTGGCACTGGCGCAGGGCAAGGGGCTGAGATGGCGGGGCTGGTGGCTGCAGACGGGGAGGTAAGGGATGCCCGGAGAAGGAGACTTTTGCTCAAGTTCGTAGTCCACCCAGGAGCTGGTTGGGCCATGGAGGGCCCGTCTGCGCACCTTGTTCTGCCCCGGGCAGCCGGTGGGAAACTTCCCAGGAGCGCAGCCTCCCGGGGGACTCGGAGCCCCCGACGCCTCTGGTGCTTCCTCTGGCCGCCGTGTCCCCTCCTCACCGCCCGCAAGTGCTTAAGGTCGCGCTCTCCCCGCCCCCGCCTTCCTCCCTTAGCCGGCAGCTTCCGGATCTGGATGAGTTGGAGGAGCCGCTTCAAACACTTCCCCGGAGACCCCTCCCCTCGCCCGGCCGGAGCCTGCCTGGAGCCCCCTGCCCTGCGCCCCTGCCTCCCGCACGGCTGCAAGCCTGGCTGAAAAATGAAATCTCGTGCCTCTGCCGTCTGGGGCGGGGGGACGGGTTGTCACTTGATCTCTCAGGGCTGCTGAACCCCCGGCCGGGTAGGAGAGGGTACTCGAAGGGGGAGGGACTTGTTTGGGTTAGAGACGTTGACGTCGAATGGCGCCTGGGCTAGGAGAGGTGCGCGGTGGCAGTTAGAGGCCTGGGTTCGTTGCCAGGGTCACAGATTCTAGCCCCTCTGGGGCTTGTGATTGACTGGTGACTCCAGGCGCATCGAGGGCCCCCTTACCTTATCCCCCTCCTCCGCGCCCCGTCCTCTCCCCTCCTGGACAATGCGGACTGAAAGAGGTGATCCCGAGGGCGAAGTGTATGTGTGTGACGAAATGTTTGTCTCCTGTCAGCCACAGCAGACGCTGCTCCGGTGACCCGGAGAGCCGGGCGCTTAGCCCCCTCCCCCAGGGATAGGGGAGGAGAACATGAAGGAGGAGGGAAGTAGTGATGGGAACTTCTCCACGCACCCACCGGGGCCATGGGAAGGCAGTGCTAGTCCAGAGAATTTCTGGGAATTGCAATCCTGGATGGGGGGGAGGTTCAACTCAAAAAGAGGACCCGCTAGGTCAGGGCTTCCGCCACCCAAAGCCTCCAGATCTTTTTGCTCCTTTTGTGGGCGGGCAGGTCTGAAAATCTGCCTTAATTGGATTCCGATGTAAGCAGCCAGGGAGGGATAAAGGTGCCCCCTCCCCTTTCCCTTCCTAGGATAGGGAGTCAGGCCCTAGACCCCAAGCTGGCCTCCCAGGCAGGTAGAGGAAATTCCTCTCCCTACTTTGAGAGAGCATTCCTTGGGGGGAGAGAAGGCACCTTTTTTAAGCGGGGTGGGGGTACTCTTTTCAGGCTATTCTGCCTCTTGGTCCAGGAATAGAAAGATTTAACCATCCTCCAGAAATCTGTCCCCCCAACCCCCAGTGGGAACAGGCTGATGGTCATGCTAACAGCTGACACCCAATGACAGGAGTGGGCAGATTTATACCCTGTGCCCCCTTCCACACCAGACAGGGCCTGCCCAGGTGGTGCATTGTCCAGGGACCTTGTGGAGAGTGGCCTTGTGGCCTGGAGGAAATGGGCTTACAAGCCAGGGCTATACCTAGAACTGAAGGGGACTCTCCGCCAGGGCTGGGGTGGAGGGCCCTTGTGGAATGGCCTTTGCCCCGGTTGGGGAGGCTCTGTGAGCTGGCTAGTCCCTCCCCACACCTTTGCTCTATTCCCAGCCCCACCCTCAGTACCCATGGCAGGAGGCCTGGTGAGGGGTAAGTTTCTGCACGCCCCCGCCCCCGCCCCGTTGGACTCTGAGGCCCTAGCAGCCAAGGGCAGGCCCAGTGAGAGCATGCTGGGAGACAGAACTGAACCAGCAACATTCCTCTCTGCCTGCCCCACGTGCCCTACTACAGCAAGAGTCCCTTGGTGTCCCTTGGTGTAGTTCGTGTGGTTGACTTCCCCTTGGAGGACCAAATGCCTCCTATAGGCAAGGACATCCCCTATGCATTGAGGAGCTTCCGGCCTGGCACACAGTGGGCATATAGCTTTGGCCAGACAAATGCAAGAGTGCATGAATCCATCATGAATGAATGAATAAATGAATGAAGGGGCAAGGTTTCTCAATTGGAGGCATTTCATAATTTTTTAGACTTTTTGATATATACATTTAAACATATGATTCGTAGAAAATCCAAGAAATAGAGAAAATAAGAGAAAAGTGTTCCTGACAATCTTCACAGGCCATGACAATGATGATAATTTTTATGTGGTCCTTCCCAGTCTTTGTCTACTTGGTGGCTGGTTTGTTTCTAAAGACTGTGGTTGTTCTCTATACTCAGATGTATATCCTGCTTTCTTCACTGGTTGACAGGAGCCTTTTCCTGTTCTGTAACCATTTCTTCATAAACACCATGGCTGGTGTTTCCAGGCTTCTCCAATAGAGTGGCTGTGCCATCGTTTACTTCATATTCCCTTTTGTTAAACGTTCTGGAGGCTCCCAGGGAGTGATGCAGGGAATGTGTTTTGTGCATAGGGCTTTTTTTTTTTTTTTTTTTTATGTTTAAAATGATTTCCTCAAAATGACGCTGCTAGTGTAGGAGGCTCAACCGTGCCTCCAGTGGAAGGAACTGGCTTCTGTGATTTTCCCTGGATAAGTGGGACACTGTTCTCCTTCCTTCCCCACAATCTAGAACCTTCCTCTAGAGCTGAAAGGAGCCTGCATGGTTAGTCTCCTGTTTGACCCCCTCATCTGACTGAGGAGCCAGAGGGCAGTGACCCCAAGGTCACACAGCCATCACTGGGCTGTGCAGCAGCGGCTGCTCCTCTGTTATCTGGGGGTTTGCATGCAGGAAGGCTTCCTACCACACATGGAAGGAGGAACACTCAGCTTGCCCCAGGTGGAGCCCCAACCAGGCCCCTCAGCCCTTCTGGGTCACACACACTAGCCACATTCACGAGACCTGGGGCCACCCAAGTCACCAGCCTGTGGTTGGCCAGCTATGAGGTGCCCCGTTGACCCTCTTCACAACTCCCCTTTTGTCTTGTCATCTCATTTCTCAGGAGGAAAAGCTGAGGATCCGAAACAGGTGTCGGGGGAGGGGGCTTCAGATCCAGGAGAGCCTGGCGGTAGAGGATCCCAGGGGTTGTACTCCTGCCCCATGCCTCAGTTTATTTGTCCGAAGGCCTAGCCTTCCACTTGTGCTGGAGCTGGGGGAGGAGATAGTATGGATCACGGGGGTAGGGAGGTGGGGAAGGACAAAACCAGTTCTAAACCAGCTGTCAGTTCCAACTCATGGAGACCCTATGTGTCAGAGTAGAACTGTGCACCAGAGATTTTTCAAGGCTGTGAGTTTTTGGAAGCAGATTGCTAGCTACGCCTTTCTTTCTTTTTAATTGTTGTAATTAAATGAAGTTAACATTTCAAGTTAGTCTCCCATACAGAATTTTTTTTTTTTTAACATACATTGTTATGAGACCCCAACCGCTCACCCCATTCTGCGACAGTACACTCCTCCCCTCCACCCCTGATTCCCCATGAACATTCAACCAGCTCCTAACTCTCTCTGCCTTCCCATCTCACCTCTAGACAGAAGCCGCCCATTTGGTCTCTTGTATCTACTTGACTAAGACGCACATTCTTCACAAGTATCACTTTATGTCCCACAGTCCAGCCCAATCCCTGTCTGAAGAGTTGGCCTCGGAAATTGTTTTAGTTCTGGGGTGATAGAGAGACCAGGGGCCATGCTTTCCGGGCTGCCTCCAGTCTCAGTCGACCATTAAGTCTGGTCTTCTTCCTAGAGTTTGAGTTCTGCATCCCATCGTTCTACTGCTCCATCAGGGACCCTCTGTTGTGTTCCCTGTCAGAAAGTTCATTGGTGGTCGCCAGGCACCATCTAGTTCTTCTGGTTAGGCCTTTTTTTCGAAGCACCTCTGGCTGGACTCAAACCGCCAACCTTTCGGTTAGTAGTTGAGCTCTTAACCGTTTGCACCCCCCATGGACTCTTGGGGAAGGGCAGGCTACTTCTTCAGCTCTCCCTCTGAACTCAGAGAGGCCTCAGGAAGCCCCTGGGGAGGACGGGGATAAATAAAGGCAGAAGGAGGAGAGAGGAAAGGAGAAAGTGGGAGAGGAAGAAAGGGACTAAAAAGAGGGAAGGGAGGTGAGCAGGGAAGAAAACGAAGGGGAAGGGAGAAGAAGGAAGGACATGTTCAAAACAAGGACGGAGATAAGCCCCCCATCCCCTTCCTTAGTGGTTCTGGGGCCATGGAGGAGAGCCCGGGCTGGCCTGGGGGAAATGCTGGGCATCCGCCTGGAAAGGGGTGGGCTCTGCAGGGCTCAGCAGAACAGCTCTTTGAGGGGTGTCGGGGGAGGCTGTGGGGGTGAGATGGAGCCACACCAGGTGGAGGCAGTACCTGGGCAGGTGGCTTCTTGGTTCTCTGACTCCCCATCAGAGGACAGGGCCTTTCTGTGCCTTTCCCTGCCAGCATGCCCACGTTGAGGCAAAGAGAAATCCTCCTGGGATTGTGGGAATTAGGGTGTTTTGGTGTACCCACAGGTGTGTGCCTGTCTGTCTACACCTGTGTATGATGGCTGTGTGTCTCTAACCCCATTTGTGCATTCCTGGGCTCAGTGTGCCGCCATTTTTGGCCCGTGTGTGTGTGTCTGTGTGTCCATGGGTGTGGCAAGTGAGTGCGCATGGGTGTGGTGTGTTTGTATGTGTGGCATGTCTGTGC